TATATATATAATTAAAACTAAAGCCACAAAAAAAAAAGGAATAATAAAAAAGAACATAAGCATCACTTAGAAAAGTGAACAACACCACAAAGAAATCATGAGTACATGTCAACACTACACATAAGGATAGACAAGCAGAGCCAATATTAATATATGTGTAGAAGCATTTGAAGCAAAGCCTTTTAGGATCTAAGGCACATCAAATCACAAATGTTTAATTAAACACAAGGATTATAAAATGGAGAATCAAAAGTATTGGTGAGAAATAAAGTCCATCAAATAAGCCAATATCAAAGCCCAATCTCGTGTTATGTGACTAAATTTGCTTAATAACAAATAAAAAATCCAACAAAGAACAAGCCAAGAACATATGATAAACATACATACAAAATGCATACATAGCTCACCACGTTCACCCTTTGTTTGTTTTGTTTTTTATTTTTTTGTTTTATTTTTTGCTAACTTTATCAAGCTTTCTACAAGACCCATGTAACGGGTGTTGAATCAATGTGCTCAAATCAGTTGACTTTAAGACAATGGGTGTTAAAGCACCCCTAGGATGTACTAACCCGAGTCATATAGGCTACAAAGAGGAGTAATTTGTACAAGATCAAAGCTTTTTGACGCGAACCTTAGCATTGGTTAGACAAGAGCCCTGGTTACTTGGCAGGGATCAAGCACTTATTTTACTTTACTTTTAATTTAAAAGATGTTATAAATTTGTGAGCTCAATAGCCAAAAGTACAATGCAAATCTAGTATCAAGTCAAAGGCAAGGTAAGGATTCATTCAAAATTATTAAGCAAGATTCTAGTGTATGTGCTATATGTGAGACATGAGATTTAATATAAAGAACATTTAATTGACCTTATAAAGAACAAAGACAATCGAGAACCATTCATATAAACCCAATATTGATATGCCCAAAGTGATCCAAAGCCTAAAATCCAATCTAAGATCAACAAAAGCTTCCAGACGTCAGTAGGATTGATATCGTTTATCAATCCCTGCACGTGTTGAACAAAATACTTAGAATTTAATCCAATTTATGTTACAAAAACAAATAAGAGAATAGCTAGAGTCTTTTGGCAGGCATACAAACAATCATTCAAAAGAACAAATACCTAAAGACTTTCTAAGAGTGTCAAATCGAAGATTATCTAAAGGTTTTGCAACAAGACTTTTAAGATCCTTTTTCCTTTTTCCACCCATGACAACATTAGTAGAGGCAAACATACAATTATGATTTTCCTTTTTCATCCAAACTAACTTTGTCTTAGTTGGCGGCAAATAATGAAAAGAAGATAGTTTGGATAAGCATTTTACCTCTTTCATAAGATTTGAAATCTTATGTTGGATACTTACTTTTCCACCCATGACATGAGAATTTGAATGAACAAATTCGTTTCGAAGCTTATTGCATCTTGGTCTTATGTGGCCACGAGTTCCACAAAAGTGACAAATTGGAATGAATTTCTTGACTTCATGAGCGGCAGAAGGTTCAATAGGTGAAGAGGATTTGACAAACTTTGTTTTAGACACGACAGATTACTTATTACTTGGTTCAAATCCCAAGCCTCGTTTGTCACCATCTCTTCTTCCCATGCTAGTCATCTTGTCAATTTTTTCTGCACCAATGGTTAAAGAAACAATCATTTCCTTTGAATTTTTAAGTTCAAGTACAAGGGCTTTGTTGTCAGAAGTTAGAGATGCAATTAATTTATTCTGATCAGTCAATTTTTTCTACAAAAACATCAATTTTTCGTTCATACCTGCACTTACCTTTTCGGAATCTGCTCCAGAGGATTGAACCTCGTTTGCAATCCTGCTATTTTCCAACTTCAGTACAACAACTTCTTTGACGAGCTCACTATTTTGTTTACTGAGCTTTTGAGAAGCAGCCAACAAATCATCATATTTGTTTATGATAAACTCAATATTTATATCTTCATCATCAACATCTTTCTTCGTTGGTTCATCCAAGCTTTCGGTCGTTATGTATTCGATGCTTCGTTCTTCCCATCCTTTTGCTTCTTCAAAGTGTTAGCACATTGAGAAGATATGTGACCATAACCTCCACATTCAAAGCATTTGACTTTTCCTTTTGAATTTTTTGTGTCATTTAACCTACAAGATTTTGAAACAACGTCAGTATTATAAATATTTCTAATTTTCTCAAAATTCATACCTGAGTTGTTTCGCGAGTCTTGATCCTTAGAGTTTCGATTCTTTAGAAAACTCTTGAACTGTCTCAACGTAGCACGATCCATCCTACAATATTCCAGATCTGGATAAGTGTGTCTAGCGACCGGCTCTGATGCCAATTGAAATTACCTGTAGGATGACTAAGAATGCCTAGAGGGGGTGAATAGGCCAATTTAAAATTATAATCAATAAATAAAACTAAACTTCAGTAGCAGGATTGATATGGCTTATCAATCCTGGAAACATGCAGAGTATAAAATAAAGGAACACACAAAGAATTATTTTACGTGGTAAAACCCACCTATGGGGAAAATCCATAGGACTCCTCAGTCCAAAACAAATCCACTATAGAACAATGATTACAAGAAGTACTCACACACTTATCATAGACATATTCTAGATAATGTTTACCGACTTCTTCGTAACTCAACTTCTGTCATGGGATGATCTTTCGACACTCCTTATGTTGAACACAATACTGGTCACGATTACTTCAAGCTCATCGGAGTTCTTCCAACTCTCCTTATGTTGAATCCAATACTGGTCACGATTGATTCAAGCTCATTGGAGAAAAACCACCACAACGGTCTTGGTGCCCTCAACCGTATGAGTCACCGAACATGCAGATGAATTCAATATGAATGATGAAAGTGTTTGATAAATCACCAAGTAAACATGGAACACTTGATGATTTATCGCAAATAAAAACTCAGCTCTCCAAAGTTTATGGATTGAAAATATGAAAGCTCTCCGAACAAAGAAGACAAAGGTCTTATTTTATAGACTTTTTCTTTACAAGAAAGAAAACATGTTGAAAACCAAATTACTTGATTTGCACGATTTTAATAAAATCAAAAAGATATTTTCCTATTCTAATAATGATCACACGTGAAGCCCAAAACCAATAAGAAAGTAAAAACTTAATAAAGGAAATTTATGATAATCCCACCATTAAAGGAGTCCTAATATTCTTAGGTCAACTACCAAGAATATCTCAACACCTTTAATAATGTTGATATGATTAAAACTTGATTTGCAAGTAAATTACTTTAAAAGATACGTAACAAATCATGGATAAGATAAAGAAGGAATAAATAAAAACATATTGCAAAATATGCCTAAATGAGATGCACTCCTAAACGGATTCTAATTGATTAAAATCAAGGAAGATCAAATAAATAAAATCATATTAGATTCCAAAAAAGCGTTCCTATTATGAGTGCATGAAAAATGACATGTCTTATCCTTCAGATCAAATGTCTCATACGTGTTAAGTCACAATTATGGAATTCCGGAATTGATGAGCTGTTTTAATCCTGTAGTTTTTGGAAATCAGAGACAGCAATTTTGCTTCAACCCTACAGCTAAATGACACTTCCAAACCAATACTAAGTTCTAAGAAATGACAACACAATTTCATACTAACATAAAAAATTTGTGGGCTGATTTTTGTTAGAGGTGAAAAGTAGGAAAAAGTATGAAAGATAGGTAGTAGACATTAATTACGTCATTTGGTCAGTAAGCTCCTTCCCTTGCATACAAGTTCGAACTTCTTTTTCGATAAATTAGAGTAATTTCAACTATCTTTTTTATTATAAAAAACAAAAGATAAGAACAAGTAACAACCCATGACCTTATCGAAAAAAAACAATATGATGACTATGTGTCACCAAACTGTTGCATGCCTTAAAAGCAAGTAAACAATGTCAAGTGTCTACACAGTAGTTTATAACTCAGCAGTGAAAAGCACGCCCCATTTTCTGATTCTCTACTTCCAAACTCCTTCCTTCCCACCTCGTCCCTTCCGCCCAAAAAAACCCAGAACCCGAAACCCAGAACCCAAAACCCGAAACCCGAAAACCGAGAACAGTTGCATCAAATTTTTTTCACAGCACCTAAAAACAATTCCGAGCTCCCAACCACTGAAGCGTTTTATTCACTGCTAGACGACGTCGTCGGAGCACTAAGAGAAGGTACTGCCACTTTCTTCCCCAATTTCTCACAATCCCTAGCTCATCTTTGTTTTTTGTTCAATATATGCATCTCTCTTGTCTTCGCTTACTTAGCTTTCATCAGAGTTCAGAAACTTTCCTTGGGTTTAATTGATAGTAAATATTTACTTTTTTTTTGTTGGGTACAAGTAAAAATTTGAACTTTTTTCTTTTGTTGGTCTATCTTCTTAATTGCTTTTTTTGTTCCGCAGTTTCTGTTATGTTTTAAAAATAAAAGGATACAACGAATAAAGAAGAAACTGTGGTTCGCTGAGGTGAAGTGGAATTAATATTTATTGGGCCCTGTTTTTTTATCGAAAAGTTTTAAACTTCTTAATTTCTAATTTCTTACCATACACTTTTTATTTTCTAAAAATGTTTTACAGTATTCATGAAAAAAGAAAATGATTAGTATTAGCAACCAGGTGGAAATTTAGGGTTTTTTTAATATATATATTTTTTATTTTTTGAAGTATGGTTTTGATGAACTTTGGTTTTAAATGTGTAAAATTATTTTTGGTTCTGTATTGCGATTGTGATACAATTCCATTGCCTGCTGCTATTCAGGTTTCTGCTTTACTTGTAAGCCGGAACTATCTAGTGCCTGAGTTTTAATTTGTTTGTTGCTGTCTTTTTCATTTCCATTAGTGCAGCCTCTAAGTTCAGTTACTGGTGTACAATCAATGTCACTATCATTGTGCATTTTGGTTCACTAGCATCTGTTGTAGCTTATACTGCATTTTCCTATTTCTTTTGTTGTCTTTTTGTTGACAGTTAGCAATCATGCTTATCCATTTGAGTGATTTTCTGCTTTTGAAGCAGTCACTTTTTGATGATTAGGAATTGGGTTTGTGGGAAAGTCGTAATTGGGGTGTAGTGTTGTCTGACTTTCTTCTGCAGTGGTCCCAGAGCATTCTGATAACTTGGTTGCTCGTACTGACTGAGTTTATAGCAGAGGCTAGCCTGTATTCTTAGGCGATTTATCAATGTAGTAATGTTCAGATAATGGGAGCCTTATGAGGGAACAATTGAAGTTAAACCACACCATGAGAATATTGGGTACTTCTTACATGACTGTGTTATATAACGTTTAACTTGTAGTTTAATTGCATGATAATGTAAGAACAAGAGAAGAAGTTGTTCATGAGGATTTCTTTGGGATATTGAGATAGTGGCTGTACAAGGGTTTTCTTTGTGTTTGTGCTGTGTGATTTAACTCAACTGTGTCTTCTACTGTTTATACATGTAGACAAGAATTTTATGAATTGCATAAATCTTGTGGTGCAATTTTCATTATCGTTAGTTGGTGTTCAAGGGTTTTCTTTGTATTTGTGTTATGTGATTTTAACTCAACTATGCTTTATACAAGTTATACAGTTACAGTTTAGTGAATAATACATATCTCTGGTGGACGTGGACAAGAATTTTCCATATCACATACATATTGTGCTTACAAAATTCTTTCTCATTCATCTATTTCTTTCCATTAGGAGCCGTTGAGTGGTCATTCTTTTGAATCTCGGTTTGCACTTGTAAGTCCTAACAAGTGGTCTCAGAGTGGGTTCCCTTGAGGTTCTGATTACTTGTTATTCACCACTTGGTAGAGAAGTGTTAAGATAGACAACACCAAACGCAGCTCGAGAAAATAATTGAATCGTGTGTATTGCCCATCTTGAAAAATGTTGTATTAGATGTCCTAGCTCTGCTTCTCCTGAAACCCACAGAATATTCAGCAAGAAAATCAGCCCATGAAAAACATACTCATTATCCAAGATTTACAAACATTCTTTTTTCTTCAATTTTCACAGTATTCATTCTTGGACTCAATGTTGCAAGTAATGCACTATTACATAATTAGTGGATTTTTCATTTGTTGTCCAAAATTTTTTTGTTTTTGTGTGTGTAAAAGTTTGTTATTTAAAGGTAGAAATCAATTTATTGAGGCTTCTGTACAGGATATCCTTGCTAAGTCTTATTATTTAAACTTTAAAAAGCACAGAAGTTTGATATGTAATTTAAATTCTATCATGTTTGGTATCAATTTTCTTTTTAAAACTCACTATAAAGCCTTACTCTTGCTGCAGGGAGGGGAGTTTTGGTAGAATTTGGGGGAAGAGCAAGAGATTTTGCTAAAAGTACCTGAAGATGAGCCAAGCTGATCAAGGGAACAACCCTGATCCCTCGTCAAACATCCATGTGAAGCGCAAACGTGGCCGTCCACGGAAATATCCAAAACTAAATCTGGAAGAGGATACTCGTGTGCCAAATGCTCAGAATCTGAACTCACGTGTGAATGCTGGCATTGGTATTCCTCCTGTTCCTCCTGGATTTGATGGGAGGAACGAATACCAGTCCCATCATGCAGCTCCAAATAATAGTACAACTGATGTCATGGTGGGAACAGTAGTTTCTGGTGTCATTGATGGTGCTTTTGATGGAGGATATTTACTTAGTGTTAGGGTTGGCAACTCTCACAACACTTTGAGGGGCGTTGTCTTCAAGCCTGGACGTTACACTTCTGTCTCAGCAGAGAATGATGTGGCCCCAGATGTTCAAATGATCAGGCGAAATGCAATTCCCATTCCAGCTGAGATTTACTCTCATGTCCACGGTCAGAAACCTCGTTCTAGAGATGTCATCCGCTCTGTTCATCACGTGGCTTCAAAAGGCAAACATTTGCCCCCTGTGGCAGCCCAAACTGTTAATCCACTATTGTCCAGAGGAAACTTGTTGCCTGTTATACTGCAACCCCGTAATTTATCTAATGGGGTACCATTGACTGGTTCATCAACTTCTGTTGCGCCAGTTGCTCCTCCGAAAAATGGGTCGATACCCACCAACCAGGTGCCACTCACCAGTGAGCCAACTTCTGTCGCACCCCAAGCTGCAGATCTGGCATCTTCAAGAGTTAAACAGGTTCCTTCAGTTCCTCCATCAAATGGGTCGATACCCTCCAACCAGATGCCAATAGTTGGAAATCAGTCTTTAGCATTCGAAGGTGGACAAAATGATGATGGTACTTGTAATCAACCATCAACAGACACGCTAATTCAGGAAGAAGCCAAATCAATGAGACTCCCAGATATACCTTTTGAAAAATTGGTTACTGAGGTAGTTAAAAGGATTGATAATCCCTCACAAGCCACCTTACAATCAACTGAGATTCACGTTGAGGGTAGCAAGTCAACTGGCAGTGAGATGGAGAACGATATGGATCAACCCCTAGTAATTGAGCCTCTGCAAGCCATACAGCCGAAAGACCACTCTACACCAGTTTCAAAACCACCGGAGGACAGTAGAAATGGCAAAATGTCTGAGCTGTTGCAGGTAAAACCAATCTTTAACATTCTCCTTAAGCAATTTAGTAGTTAATGTTATTGCAGACATAGACGCTGATTTAAACATCTCAACGAGTTTCTTTCTTTTCTTTTGGCTGGAACATCAACAAGGTTTTGCAGGAAAGCATGAGGGAGAGGGAGGAGCCACAGGCTGAAGTGTCAACCACAGGTCCCAGACAGAAGTTGGATGAACCAAGTTAACCCGTGCTCGGAAATAAAATCTGATCGTTCATGAAAACCTTCCGAGGCTTCAAGTGTCTGATTTTATGATTGCCACCTTGAATGGGTACTGTGTGCATGCTTTGCTGATGGACATAGAGGCTTTGCATGGTGGGGTAATCAGACCTTTGTGTAGAAGGGTTGTTTTGTTAAAGTAGGAACTGAGGAAGACCTGTTTGACTTTTGTTTATAGCTTATTTGACTGTGATAACTTGTTAGAAAATGTCTCTGCTTTTATGTGTTCGAAGTACTGTCATGTAAAATATAATTATTAACATCATATTTTCGTTTTGGTGAATAAAGGAGTTTACTAACCCAAAAAAGAGGAGCAAAGGCCAGTACACCAAAGCCGAAAGGTATATAGGGAACAAGAGAACAAACTCAACAGGCTTAGCAAACACCAGGAGAAAAGCAAACCAAGCAAGCGAGAAAACAAACCAATATTAAGACCAGAGACATTATTCAAAGCTCAACAAAACCATGAAACCAGATCTAATGGATCAAATCACAATCAGAGAAGGATTGGTTCCATCAAAATATGTTTGGGCTATCTGTTCAGCAAAAAAAATAAGTTTGGGCTACATCAGCCCAAACATCCTTGGCAGTTCAAGCTGGAAGCAAAGAACCTACTACAGTAGGGCTTACGGTTGCACCACTTCGAATAGGATAAAGCTTGGCTCCTCAAAACAAGTTTGGACACATGTAATTCTTTTAACTTTTTTTTTTCTTTTGAATCTTTTAACTCTTGTCTTTTGGAATTTAACATGTGTTAAAATCCTATTTGTTGTGAGGAAGGGTTCCTCCTCAGTTTTAAGGAGCCAAGCAATACTCCATCGAATATGCAGGATCAGTTGCAGATGGTTGAGGGAAGAATAAGTGGGAGAATATAACCTTACGATCGTTGTTGTTGCTTATCGTCTGAAGTTCAAATGAAATAGGACATGAAAAATAGGCAAAGTTTGGGGAGTTAAGTATGGGCAAGAACTTTGGTAGATAAAAGTATCTTCTGGGATTAATGTTTCGATACAAAGATGGGTACTTTCAGTTAGATTTGATCGGTAGAATATGGGTAATTTGAGGTTATGTATATTGACAATTTATAGCAAGTGGGCATCGAAATAGTAGTTTAAGTTTACGGTAAGAAAAAACAACTAAGGTAGAGGAAAAACAGTAGATTACGTCAAGAAAGAAGGTAAGACCAACCAAACAATGATGAGCCAGAGGGTAGGGAAAACTGGCAGATGGGTTTGGCTGATGACAACAGCAGTAGTAAGAAACAAGATTGTAAAATTTTCTATGGCAACCTCGCTCTGATGCCATGCAGAAAGTTTAAGTTGGAAAATCATTTTATGATATTTGTTCTTCTCCTCAAGGGAGGTATTTAACACTTGCATAAAATTATGAGGAAAATGAAATTTATTGTCACACCCCAATTTATTTACTTATTTATTGAGAGTGTGAGGTAAAAGAAAAAAAACTAAAATTACAAAATTTAAATAGCAAGAAACATGAGGTGAGAGTGTGAGGTAAAAGAAAAACTAAAACTAAAAATTTAAATAGCAAGAAACATGAGAATTAAACATAAAACTTCTATTTAAACTAAAGTAATTTACATTGTAATTTTACAAGCAAAATTTCAGTAAATACAGACTCTTAACAAAACATCCAAAATTATCTACAACTCATTCTTCTTGTTTCCTTGTCACAACTAAACTTCAGATTCAAAACCTGCAATAAATTCATTAAGGGGTGAGCATTACATGCTCAGTAGGGGCCCTATATGATTAGTGAGATTTTTAATGTACAAATTATGTAGTGTATGAATGAACTTCAATTCTACCCAACCCGTTAATCTATATAATAGGGCAAGCAAATCTGCATGTCCCATACCATACATTTTACCACTGTGCTTCCGAATGCCCCATTATATAAACTAACACCCATCTCAATTATCCCATAATTCCCCTTTTGCTAGTCATCTTGTCCATACCATTGATCTCCAAGCCCAAATCACCCAATCGACAATTATACCGCCGATTTCCTAATCTACTGTGCACACGAGCTCGCCTGAACTTGGTCCTTACAATGGTCAGACTCAACTACACAAAAGAACCTTCCCATTACCCTCTTTTCCATAATTTCTTTGTTAACCCAAGAATTCTGAACACCACTGACAACATATGAACATGTCAATATTAATCAAATTATAATGATAATTGACAATCATGTAAACATCCAATATCAAGGATAATAATCAAACAATATTACCAAGCATAATATAGTGTTCACAATATTTAATTAAATCAATTTATGCAAAACCTCCCCAAGAAAGAACCCCTACCTCAAATTCAAAGCAATTGTATAACTCCCAGTTGTAAGTCCAAACACTTCGAGCTTCTCCAAAATCTCACCACACTTCACTCTTTCTTTTTTTAGGAAACTAACACACTTGAAGTACCTATGATCAAAGAACTATTGAGTAGACCTATTTATAGTAAGCTAGAGTCGGTTAGATGAAGCTTAATGTTGTGCCACCTAATTAGTCCATAGGTTCCTAGACTCCCAAATAGCCTTTTGTGTTGGCTTTGTAGAGTGCTTAGTGAGCACTCTCCTATCAAGTTTATATATATAGGAATAACTATCATTCTTACACCTCATACTTTAATTGGTTTTGAGGACACTACATTGCAACACGTCAGTCTTCAACAATGCTTAGTAAGCATAAATGTTTTTCTAACAGTTTTTGTAAAGTAAGTATATATATATAATAATAATAATAATTAAAGCTGAAATGAATTGAAATAATTAAAATCATGCAATAATATTTGATAGGCTATACTAGTTAGTAGCTAACTTTACGCAACTTGCTATACAATTAATATATATATTATTAATTATATAGTTTTTGAAGATTAATAATTGTAAATATTTAATTTTATGAAATATTAAAAATATGGGGTTTCACATTTATAAATCCTATAGATAGAAAGGATTTTTACTTGTTTCCTCTTTTAGGCGAAGGCATCGGTTTTGTTTTTGTTTTTGGGTGGTGTGTTTACAGGTTTTTGCTATGCATTTTCTCCTCGTCCGGTCTCAACCACTATCATCGGCTCCTTGACTTCATGGATTTCGCTTCCGTCATTTACCATCGGTGGCACTTATGGAGTTGGGATGCACTTAAAGTGCAAATGACACTTATTGCTTGGATTATGGTAGCACTACTGGTTGTAGCATGGGTGGCTTGCCCACCACCATTTTCTGTTGGTTACTGGTTTCTCTTTGGTGATTGTCGACTTGCTTTGGTGGCACGGCTTGTGGCAGTTGGATTGTGTGACATATATATGTTATTTGTGTTACGATTTCCTAATGTGATTTTTGGGCCATTGTCTTTTACGGGCTTTTGTGTTTGTGGGCTTTTTACATTTATTTGGGTTTTATGCCTCTGTGTGCTTATGCATTTTGTAAGTTTTATGACTGTAGCGGGTTCTATGCATATTTGTGTTGCATTTGGTGTGAACTCTAATTTTTGAGTTCATTTTGGTATAATTGGCTTTGACCTTTTATTTCATGAAACTTAATTCCGACAAAAAAAAAAAAACGTTTAAATCAATCAATGTGGTCCTCACATCAATTTGGTCATGTGACCAACTTAAAAGACATATATATATATATTTCAAAATACAACCTATCAACCTAAGAGACAAAATAAAGATCATGTCTTTTGTTAAATAAGGCCATTTGATCCCCTTGATGATGGAACCCCAATGTGAAATCGTAAATATAAAGCACTAACATTGTTGAGCAAAAGACTCGAGTTTTATTATGTCTCTTGGGTGGATGAATTATATTTTGATAATATACCCCTTTTAGGTTGTCATGTGACCAATTTTAACGAAAATTTTGATGAATTTGTGGACCAAAAAACTAGGAACTATACCAATTTTATTTTTCTAATAAGAATTTTAAATGTTTTAATAGCTCAAATTACAAAAATGTCCACACGACGTCAATGACTTAACAATTTTATTGAAGAAATTAACAGAATGAGGTAACGTGAGACAAAATGTAAGTAAAGGGTGGAAATTGAGTCAGTTGAAAGTTCATGGGGCATAGTGAGATGATAAGCAAAGCACAAGGGACATATCAATAGATAAGCCTAAAAAAAATGTAGGACTATAGATATTCATAAATCCAATATTTATTTATGTCACATAATTTGTGTGAAAGGTGAGGATTACGGTGGATAAGGACAACTACTCACTGCTATGTGTCATGTTGGACGGTTGCATATTGCATACTTCAACCAAATCTGCTCATAGTCTAACCCAATATTGATAATATTGACAAAATATCAAGGATATTTCGGTTTTTTCGAATCACAGATATTTCGGAACATATCCATATACATATCATGTAAATATTGAGAATATCGATGATAATATCGGAAAATATCGGTGTCAATAATTTCGCTCACACTTCAGCAATATTTTGTCAAAATATCGGTGTAATATCGCTAAAATATCGAAAATATCAATTAAAATATTTATATTTATATTGTTTTGTTTTGAATTTTTTTTGCAAGAATCAAATTTTCACATGAGAATGAATCTTTGAACCTCATAGGAACTCTATGTGGTACTAAGTCACTCATGTATCTTACCATGTGATGTATTAAGTGTAAAATATTGTAGTAAATCATTATATATAAATGATTATGGTGTGTTTAATCTTTTTTCATTAATTACTATATATTTTCTGTACTTATAGTGTTTGCCAGCTCGCTGTATAATCAACTTAAATCAGTTAAATCCATCATGCAATGCATTTCCTTCTAATTTTTTTTGTGATAAACTAATAGATAATTGACTAAATAAACATTCTCCAAAGTTTCAATAAAAATTTTCAAGTTTTTCTTACAATTTCCGTGGTTTTTATTCAATTTTATCGATATCGATAATATCCCGATATTTCCATCGAAATTTCTGTGTTTTTGGACTATCGATATTTCCGATATCATTGATATTTTAGACCTTGAATTTGCTACAAAAGGAATCAAGACAACTCTTATTAACTGTAGTATAACCTCTCTGACTTATTTTAAAAAATATTTTCTATTGAGAGGTAGGATAGTATACTAAACTCACACACAGTGGCGGATCTAGAAATTTTTTAGGGAAGGGGCGATAAAAAAAAATATTAAAAGCTCAAAAATAATAAAATAATTAGACAACCAAATACCTTTAGAATCTAATGAAGATTAATCTAAAAAATCATCAATTTCAATTTATCTAATTGAAATGCATATCAAATTATCAATTAAACA